TTATAGCAATATAAGTATATCTCATATAATTTCTAACTGAGCTCCATCTTTCGATTAATCTGTTTTGTACTTTAGCTATATTTCTAGAGACTAGACGTACGTAGTTACTTACATATAGCACAACAAAGATCCAAATAGACCGATTTGTCATGTGGTTGCTTTCTCTGTAATAATCCAAAAATGGTAAGGATAAACAAAAATTGTCATTTACAGAGAGAAATCCAATTTCCCATTTTTCAAAAAAGAAAAACAGAAAAAAGGGAAAAAAGAAAAAACCGTAGAACTTTGGTATAGAGAGTTTATTCAAGTAGAACCAAATTTTATAAGCCAGAAGAGGGAGTGTATTACTACTTGACCCAGTTCAAGTAGTTTAGTGAGTTTATCCACAATATCTCTACAAGTTATTCTGTAAGCTAAGAAAAAACTAAGACTCGCTAAGGTCAGTAGCAAAGCTCCAGTAGGCCTCTTATAAAACTAGCAGTAATAGTTCAAAGACTGTACTCTGCTGAGTTCAGGATATTATTACTCGCACTGTTCAATATTTTTTCCTTGCTAGGTAGTTGTAGTTGTTTTTTGTAGTATTTTTCTGTTTACTTCATTTCGGTTCTAGTGATTGTCGGAAAGAGTTTTTGTTATGTCGGATGCCATTAAATCAAATATTAACTAGCTTGATTATTGAAATCTATACTATTTCACCAAACTCAGGATTTTTACTATGCAGATCCTCTGTTTGTAGATTCTATTAAGATTTATTCATACAACGTAACTCAAATATTGTATTACACTTCTAATATCTAATTAATATTAGTATAACATGATTTACAGAATTGTAACCCTAGAAATGAGTAGAGTTTTCTGTAAATTAGATACAAAAGTCTAAGTAATTATTCAAATTCATCAACAGTAGAATTTAAACCTCAGACCTCTTACATAGTGGTCTGGTAATCTAACTACTATACTAAGATCACCAGACTATTTTTTATTTTATTATTATTATTATAATATTATTAGAATTAATTTATTTGTAGCCATAGGCTACATGTAGCCGTAATTAAGATCAAGTATAATATGATTATTAAAATAATTATTTTTATAAAAATAAAACCTATGATTAAGATTAGGGTTAGGGTGATTTTATCTAAGTATTAGTATATGCAAAATTTAACAAAGAATTTTTTTTGTTAGAGTATAGAAGATAGTTTCATAATTAAAATTTTGAGTTATTGGTGATTTCTTTAAAAAAACTAGTATTTGTTTTGATTTCACATTACACTTGATCCTAAAATTTAATTAGTTTTATTAGATAGCTACATGTAGCCACAGCTATATATATATTTTTCCATATTATTATTATTATTAATTAATTTCTTGAATATACTTTATTTATTATTTTTTTTTTGATATAGTTTGCCTAAACAAAACTTTATTTTTTTGATCTATAGAAAACTATTATATATCTATATTAAAATTATTTTTGTTTTTGCAACTTAACTAATTTTGAAACTTAGCTGATTTTATGCTTTATTTATTAAGAGAAAACATATAATAATATTATAAAAAAAATACAAATTAAATAAAGTTAGCTATATAATTGTTTTCTCTATATAATTCTAAACTTACTTAACTGCCAAATAGTGCTTAGGTGCAATTTAATTACAATAGTCAAATTTTCCTTATACAAGAACAGTTTGCTTAAGTAAAGTCATATTTAATTGATCAATAGAAAGTTACTAAATACTATTCTTATCAAGATTATTTAATTTTCTAATCTTTTTCTTCTAGTTTCTTGAGTTGAAGGATTTGTATTTCAACTAACTAATAAAAAAACAAATAATAAGAAAAATAAAAAGAAAAATAACAAAATATAAAAAAACTACTGCTTATACAAAAAAAAAGAAAGTACAAAAAGAAAATAAAAAAAGAAAAAAAAAACAGAAAAAAAGATAATTAAGATAGAACATGCTATTATAATCTATACTAAAGCATAAAAAATAAAAAATATTTATAGTACTAATATATATATTATAAATCTCAAGTATAATTTCTCGTTAGCTATTATTCTATTTATTAAGTAGTTTTATGATAATTTTATATATGTTAAATGACTTGTAAATAATCAAGACATAACTTACTCAAAATAAAATATAGTACAAGTATAGATCTTTTGTTTAAGCTAAACTAGAATCTTTACTTTTTTTAAAATAAAAAAGCTACATTTATTGTATCAGTTTTATTAGTCAAAAGATAAAAAAGGTAACTCACAAACAGATTGCAAGTATAGCAATATAGTATAAAACTAACAGATAGTTGATTGTCTATATAACAGACTACTTAAATTAGATAATAACTAAAGTTGTATATGTGACTTGTTATATACTCATCATGTAACTATAAAATCTTAAAAGTCTATTCATGTAATAGCTCTGTAATAACAAACTAATAAAATCTAATCGGTCAAAAAAGTAATCTTAATAACAAAAAAAAAAAAAAAAAAACACTACTATTAATAATAACTTGGTAAGGTTTGTTTCTGATTCTAATATTACAATTTACAAAAGTAATATAGGTAAAGGTTTGATTAAGATTGATATCTCAAAAAGGTTCTGTGAAGTATTCGGTTATTGCTATTTGTAATAACTCAGAGAAAAAAAATGATTCAAATTGTTTATAGTTGTAATCAGTTCAAATTAATAAAAACCATACGGCCAAAGCAAAATTAACAAAAAAAAAAACCAAAATAGCAATTTATTATGCAGATCATCCTAGGTTCTGCAAATGCCAGGCATAGTGCCGAAAAATCGGCACCATGCCTGGCTGCAGAATCCTAGATCATATACTCTCAATTAATTAGCTTACAATCCGAATAGATCCGATTACATCTTAATGATGTTTTTTTAACGGATCGTAACCCTATTTCCAATTCTACCTGACCCTAAAAAATTTAGTATTAAAAGAATCAATCCAATTCGTAAATTCTTAATGTTTATGATAGTGTACAAGTGTATAAAGCGAAAAGACTAGCATCCAAAATCCAATCTTTAATAATGTACTTGTATTTTATATACACTATTATAATCTAAATTTAATTGGGCATACAAATAAGAGATTTAAAGTTGAAGAAATTGCAATTTATCAATCACTATATTATGGCTTAATTATATAAAGCGATTTATTAATGAAATAGAACGAAAAGTAATCGTTATCATCGGGTTAATTAACACTCCAAATTGATTGCGAAACTAATCGCAAGATTTTTAAACAGTTAAAAAGTGATTTCATCTAATAATATAGGCTTCAGGTTTGCCTTATTCATCGGGGACTAACAATGGAGATTAGAAATTTAATAAGCAAAGTTAATTGTATGCAAGGATCAACCAATAAAAACAACATACCTTCTACTTCACCAGCTGAGATCGAGTCGCTCAAGTCCTTCGGAGATTGGCTATTAGTACAATAAATGAAATTTAGTAAAAATTTATAGCATTAGGCCAGGAATAAATAAATACTAACCCGTCAACCGTGCACCCAACGCTATTGCATGTGCCCAAGATTTCTTTTACTGTCCCCTTAAGTGATTTGGCGAAGGACTTGAAACGCATTGTGCGAGCAATTTCGATTACCTCATCGAGCGTTATATTACCTGAATGTTTGATATTTTTTTCTTTCTTACGGTCTCTTGGTGGCTCTTTTAAGGCTTTAATGACCAAGGAAGAGGCACTTGGTACAACTGAAACAGCAGCTTGACGGTTCTGAATGGTTAATTTGACCGTCACGCGTAAACCTTTCCAATCTGCTGTAGCCTTAGCAATATCTTCACCGACTTTTTTAGGAGCCTTTATTAGCAATAAAAATCGATCAGTGTATTTCATCAAAAGTTTCTTTTTGGGATGAATCCTTTCATTCAAAAAAAAATGAATGTTGATTATTTAATTTTTACATAATTAAAATTTACAAACCAAACCAAGCGGACCAATTTTTGGAGCTAAAGCACTAGAAGCACCAACTTCACCACCAGTTGCTCTAAGATAAACTTTGGAAATAAAATGGCCATTTAATGCATCGAATTTAATTGACGAACAAACAATATGAATTCGATACGCAACTAATCTTAATTTCATTTGGGTCGATCTTGGGCGGCATGTCGGGTATGTTTTACCTCGATGGGAGAAGAGAAAGATCTGTCTTTTTTTTCAGATAGATTTTTTATTAACCGATTGTGTTACCATGATCTACATGTTGCATTTACATTAAGACTAGTCTTCAACCTGGTGATAAAAATAAGAAAGTTACAAGAAAGCAGTATTCGTCACAACGACCAATGCTTGACGCCAAAAACAATGCAAGTTGGGTTCTTTAAAATTTTCTTTACTTTTTATGAAAATACTCTAATATTGAATTATATGCGGTTTTTACAGAATGAATCATTAATTCGGCTATCCCGAATTTGCCCACCGGATCAATATTTATTACCAGTTGAGCCGAAAGACTTGCCAAAGTTTGAAAAAATCGATTTATGTAGGTTTACTTATATACTAGTGAATTAAATAAATTACAAATTAAATACGTTTTCCTCCTTTGATAGATTTAAGAAGATACCACATGAAAGCTATTCAAGATGCTAAAACACAGTCTCTCGTGAGAAAGGCTCAGGTATGCTGCAAGCCGTGTATTCGTTTTTGGTAATTCAAACATTTATTAAAATACTATATCTCTTTTTTTATTTAATAGTTAAAGTCAAATATTAATAAATACGATATTCTATTATATATTGATCCAGAAATTCTATTGGAATTTGATTGTATGTTCGTAATTTTTTTATCTTATTATAATTTTGAAAACTTTTAAGGATTAATTTTCGAATGGTTTTTTTTTTTTTTTTAGCCACGCTTGGCAATGACCTTCTTAATAATTTTATCACTTCGAATATTGAGAATGATATTACAACCGGTTGTATTTCAATCCTTCAATCTATATTGGGTTCCGATAATATTCTTATGGCTGAACAAGTTCGATGTAAAATCCGGTTGGAATATTTGCCTGAATTACCTGAGTGAGTAAGGCCACCATAATGTGAGCTCCCATAACTGTGATTAAGAGGCTATGGTCATTCATCATAGGTATCGAATGGAAACTATCTCCGATGTGTTTGACAGAACACGGCATTGCAAAAATCCTCTGTTTGTCATTTTTCGAGGAATTATTGAGTGCCTATGGATGCCCACCTTTATTATGTAAGCGGTATCATCTATTTGAAGTTCGCGTTTATAATTCTTTAGATGCAATATGAGATCCTACTTGTTACTTTAGATTCAGTCGCACGTTTAAATGTGAAAATGTGGAGTGTTGCAATAAGAATTATCTGCATGTAATGCCAAGTGCTCCGACGAATCGCGTTATTAAACGTACTGAAGGCGGAGAGTACTTACAGACAAGTGCGAGGTAATGCTTAGTCATTTCAAAAATATATTCTATAGATTAGTCAGTCTTTGAAACAATGTCCATTTTAAATTTATAGTACAACTTTACATGACATTGATTTTAATTGTGAATATTGTGGCAATGAAATGAAAGAAATGGTAGTTGACCGAGTGTATACAAGTAGGTGCTAATTATTTCATATGCGTAGAGCCATTAATGGGTTGGGTTGGGTTGACCCAATCTTCAACCAATTCCATAACTCCAGAATACTACTCCAGGTTGCTCCAGTTTTCTCCAAACTTATAACCATATTTTTAAACCCACACTAACTAACTTAGGTTGGACTCAACCTGGAGTGGCTCCGGAATAGGCTACCCTATATATACGCACCATTTGTGCAATTTTTATTTACATAATATTCAATTATTTTCAGCACGGCAATGCATACGTATGTCCTGTATAAAGTCGGACGAAAATAGGGGACCATTTTGCAATTCAATCATTGCAGTAATGGAAGGTATATATTGTTATATGTATATATGTACAAGTATCCACATAAAGATGTTTATTGTTTGTTTTTTTATTTTATTTTACTTTAGATGACTTTATAAATTCAGTTGAAATAGGTCATGTAGTTGAAGTTATTGGATTAGTTGGAAGACATTTTCCCGGGTTAGATGGTATGCATTAATTGAATTAATATA